CTAGGAGTCAGACTTTGCTTTTCCTCTCACCTCCCGAGCCCCATTAAAGAAGCAGAGTGTGGTGGCAGCACACTCCTATAATCCTAGCACTGGAGGAGGCTGAGGCAAGAGGATCCCTGCGCATTTGAGGCCACTCTGGGCTACATAGTGAGTTCAAGACCAGCCTGAACTACATAACGAGACCCTGTCTCAGTGAATGAATGGGCTCTTGTGCCCTGTAGGCTCTGACTCCCCACTCCACTCCAACCAGAATAGAATCAAATTCTTCTCGTTACCTTGAGTTATTTCTGGGTGGCTGCCGTGACCTCTTTATAGTTTTCTCTGCTTCTGCAGCTGCCCGCCCACTCCTGTTCCCGCCAGCCATTTTATTTTTTAAACTATTTAACAGGTAATATTTTCATATCTCAAACTTTTTTTTGGTACCGGGGATCAAACTCAGGACCTTGCGCTCGTGAGGCAGGCATGATGCCACTGAGCTACACCCCCGGCCCACTACGAGTCTGTTTTTAATACCTTCGCCAAAGATTTCTTTCCCCCGAGGCCATCAAGGGCTTCATCTACTCGAACTGGACACTTGATGTTTCCCACCCAGCAGACGCAGGCCAAATCCTCTGCCTCCCTGCACCACCTGGCCAAGGATGTGCGTCTGCGGCAGAGCCTGCTTTATTCCATCCACTTGGTCGCTGTCTGGCTGTTTCCTCACCGCACTAGGATTTTCCGGTCTGATTCTTTTGGTGAGCCTGCTCCTGACCACTGAATATACCCACAGCCTTGGCACTGGGCTGTGTCCTAGCCATTTTCTTTTTTAAAGACAGGATCTAGCTAAATTTCTAAGGTTGGGATTAAATTTGTGAGCTTCTGGGCCAGGGATTTAGCTCAGTGGCACTGTGCCTGCCTAGCAAGCACAAGGTCCTGAGTTCAATCCCTGGTACCAAAAAGAAAAAAAATTGTTGGTCTTCCTGCCTCAGCCTCTCAGAGTACTGGGATTACAGGCTTGCACACCACACCCCTCACCCCACTTATGCATCACTTTTAACTCCCTGCTCCTGCTTCTGCTTTTTCTGTTATCTTTTTCTTTCATATAACTTTTTACCTACTGACATATCATACAATATACTTGTCTGAATGTGAGCTCTTTAAGAGTAGGGATCTTAGTCTTGTCTTTTCCCTTTATTTATGTTTCACAAATACCCACAGCAGTGATTGGAACATGGCAAGTGCTTAATACATGTTTGTTGAATGAATGAATGATTGAACGTGGGTGAGAATGAATTGAGTCTTGTGGTCTCTAAGGCATATGGTGATGGTGAGGCTGAAGTATGGGAGTGAAGGAAGAGGCCAGGAAGAGTTCTAATGCTGAGCTGGGTGTAAAATGTAGATTTAAAAAAATGTACAAGGAGCTGGGCGTGGTGGCACACGCCTATAATCCCAGCACTTGGGAGGCTGAGGCAGGAGGATCACTGAGTTTGAGGCCAGCCTGGGCTACAGAGTGAGTTCCAGGTCAGTCTGAACTATGTAGTGAGACCCTGTCTCAAAAAAACAAACAAACAAAAAGTTTACAAGGGCCTGAACCAAAATAGGGAATGGACTTTTTTTTTTTTTGGTTATTTTGAGACAGAGTCTCACTATGTAGTTGAGATTGACCTGGGACTCACTATGTAGCCCATACTGGTCTTGAACTCACAGCGATCCTCCTGCCTCAGCCTCTGGAGTGCTAGGATTACAGGCGTGCACCACCACACCCGGCTTTTTTTTTTTTTTTTTTAATGTAAAGCTTCACTATGTAGTTCAGGCTGGCTGTGAACCCACTATGCAGCCCAGGCTGACCTCAGACTTGTGGCAGTCTGAGTGCTGGGATTACAGCTGTGCACCACCATGTCCAGTTCTGACATTTTAAAAATATGCTTCTATGGTGCAGGCCTGTAGTCCTAGAGCTCTGGGAGGCTGAGTCAGGAAGACCACATGTTGGAGCCCAATGTGATGTATAACTGAGTGACTTAATGAGGTCCTGTCTCAGAGTTAAAAATAAAAAGGCCCAGGGTGTAGTTTAGTGCAAAGTCCAATCCTCAGTGTCACAAAACACAAGAAAACACAAAGGGTCAGACACTGCAGTGGTGGAGTTGGAGAAGCCGTGTTGTTGCTTGTTCATTAGTTCATTCCTTCGTTCACTCACCCCACTGCCCTACCGGTGCTTTCCTGCACCTACAATAGGTGCGTTCTGGGAGCCGGAACCGGAAGGCTGTGTCCATGTGAAGCCTTCCTGCAAGAAGGGGAGAAATATCCGGGTGGATGAAGAGGAGGAGCCCCACGACTCTGAGGTGGGAAGGGAAAGTCCTCCCTTCCGTGATGATGGGGTGAATGCGGGTCCTGCGCAGGGCGTGTTGGCTGGTTGTGAGAGTCCCAGGAATACCTACCAGTTAGGTCAATTAGAGGTTATTCTACATATTTATTGAGATAGGGTCCCACTGTGTAGTTCAGGCTGGCCTTGAACTTACAGCGATTCTCCTGCCTCAGCCTCCTGAATGCTGGGATCACAGGTGTGCGCCACCACACCTAGCTCCAATGTACGTTTTTTTAAAAAAATGCTTACTATGGGGTTGAATTAAAATCTGTCAAAACCTTGAGCTGTGTAGGAAACACTTCATTTGTCAGTTTCAGGAAACAAGTTGTGTTTCCACGTCTCTCACCCGAATTCTAGTTCTCAGTTAAATGTCTAGAGAAGCAGAGAGCCCTGGCCTGAGCTGATCCTGGATGATAAGCGTGGTTGGACTCAGTGTTTCCTGCGGATCTTTGTTTTGCTCTCACTGATTCCGTCTCTGAAGCAATGCGCTGCGTCACAGCGGTCTGGAGTGGGACGTAGGAATCCAGCTGGCCGTTGTTCCTTGGTGTCACTCTGTCCTAACACGCGTCGGGCCGCCCAGTCCCCCTGGGGTGCTCCAAACCCAACAGAGAAACAGGACGGGAAAAGACGGGAAGCCTACTAAGTACAACGCCCTGCTTAAGACATTAGGTTGTTTTTGTTTTTGATTTTCCTGGTTCTGGGAATTGAACTTCGGACTCTGCGCTTGCCAGGCAGGCAGAGCACCATTGAGCTGATGCCCCAGCCCAAGAGAGGAGTTTTTCAATGCCTGGTAAATTTACAGTGTGAAACACGGGGTGGGTGAGAGATGCACCTTGCTTTTGTAAAGAGAAGGGAGTTGTGAAAGGGGAGGTGGAAAAGGACAGAAGCCCCGGTGTAGACACCGTAGGTGCAGAAGCAAGCAGAACGTGGACGTCAGAGATTCCTTCAAACGGATCCCCTCAAACTGTCCATAGCTGCACACTCCTTGATTTTCTAGTTTAAAGGCCACTGTGTCAAAGTACAGCCAGGCCTGCTGGTGCACACCAGTAAGCCCAATACTTGGGAGGCTGAGGCAGGAGAATCACTGTTAGTTGGAGGCCAGCTAGGGCTACATAGCAAGACCTTGTGTAACACACACACACACACACACA